ATAAGTTGCTAGGACGAAATGAACTCAGTCTCAGGGTAAAAAAAAAAAATAAAAAAGACGTGCTAAATAAGCAAGCCTTTAATTTTCATGTGTAATGAAATAAGTCTAGCAATGTACTGTGATCGTAGTTTCTAATGTGTCCATCTTTAATATGGGAACCAGATCCTTTGTGATAATTGGCCGAAACTATCGGCCAATTATCCTGATGGTCTGTTATAGGAAAATTGCTTTAATCGGTAATCACGAAAGTCATTCATCTACATCTTCAAAGATCTTAATAAAGGATTCGCGGAACTAACGGAATAATATGTTTTAGAATAGAATTCAAATTGTGAAATTTGAGGCAGTTTATAGTGGTAAAGATTGAGAAGACATGAACATTTACCTTAAAAACTTTTTGACACTGCCTCACTAACGATCTAGGCTCATGATATCCCCCACCCCCAAGTTTTTATTATTATTATTATTATTATTATTATTATGCAAAGCATGCTAATAAATACAATAAAACAAGGTCATGAGAACGAAACATAACACCGGCCTGAAGGACGCACAATAATTACAACACATAGCTCAACAAACCACAGGCCCCATTCACACACCAAACACAGCAATCACACAGACTACTCAAACTGCTCATACTTCTCCGGCCACTCCGCCGCCGGGAATCGAACACAATACGCCTCCCAAAGCAAAATGATGTTATCTGGAACAGGTTTACTATGAACCATACGAGGATCAGGCATCAACTCTGGCACACCCACAACAAAACACCGAGCCCGCGGAACCCAGACAGAATGGCTCCATGGAACAGGATGCACATGGTCAACAATGTCAAACAGCAAGGGGTTCTTATCATACGCCATGCCGGAGGCCAAGACGAGAGGGAGGGGCTTCTTCCCACGGGGCCGGGCAATGGGCAGCGCACTGGGAGCCTCCTCGGCTGCCTCACAGGGCCCCGGGTCAACCACCGGACGTTGCACCTGCAGGGACCCCCCACGCCGGGCATCCTTCTTCAGCACCAGCAAGAGGCCTCGGCCCGCACCAGCACCCTCACCACCCACGTCCGTAGGAGTGACCACCCCCCACTGCGGAGAACCTTCTGCAGAAGAAAGAACAGGAGATAAATCATATGCACAAACATTGTCATCAGCAGGCACATGGATGTCGGCAACTACCATCAACGTCGAGCGCGAAGCACCCGGAACCACCACATCATCGCCCGAAGATCCACCGGCGTAGAAATCCTCCACGTCAGCCCAAACAGTAGAAGAATGCTGGGAACGCTTGGGCTCCGGCCGCTCATCCCCAGAGCCGGAGGCAGACCCAGAACCACGGGCTTCACAAGCCGTGCAAACCAATGCCTGTCGCAGAACGGCAGCAGCCTCAACCACAGGGGAAACCGGGCCGCGCACAAAGGATGCTCCGCAGCCCCCCAGCACAGCCATGACACCTGGCGAGGGCGCAGGGCAAGTCACAGCAGCAGGAGACGAGGAAGATGAAGACGTCGACGACTTGCAGAGACCATCCAGAAGACCCATGAGAGCAGCTGGGACAGCGACAGGAACAGGAAGATCAGCCGACGGCACCGTAACACCCGGAGGGGGGGGGGGGTTAAGAGGGGTGTTTCAAATGCTACCAGTACTCCAGCCCGTCCTCCAAACAAAGATCCAAAAGTGATTCCATGCACCCGCAAACCCCCTGTTTATGAATAAAAAGCGGTTTACACACGACTCTCAACTGCTGACGTTCGAACATATCCGGAACAAGAGCTTCACTGACGAATTTTGTTAGAATCACAACGCTATAAATGCTTCACCCACGTACTACAAATACAAATAATCGCCAACAGAACCTAAACACCTAACCTAAGCTAACCTATGCCTTTATATACACAATATGCTAATATATTATAATATAAATTTATACTTGAGAAAATTCCCGTTTTGAATGACCAGCATGTTAAAATTTATGAATGTGTCTGTGGGGCTGACCGCTGGATGTAATGGACGAGTCGAAGACGGGTTGCAGTATTCACATTACACCAGGAAGTGCCCACAACGTGACCCCAAGTGTAGTGTCTGTACCTAGGACCACCATTACAAGCAATGCTCTGCTCTTGTCCCTTCACCTTCTAGTGTGTGGTGTGTTCAAAATGCTCTGCCGATTATCAACGCTGTCGTGTGTCTAATGTTGACCACTCCACCGTGTCCCATCTTTGCCCCCGCCGTCAAGAACAAATAAAGAAAATTGTTGACAACTGACCAAACTTCACCTCCGCTATTCCTACCGGCTCCCACCCGACTACAGCTCCTCCCACCAGCCAACCAGAAGCCTTCCCTGCCTTACCAGGTGGTGGCCCCCACATCCCAGACATTCCAGTAATCTCACTGGAGGATTAACGTCCCCATCAGCAACCCATCCTCCGGTTTAGATAGTACTTTGTAATTATGTGTACCATAGTACACTCCATGACGTAAGACGCAATTAGATAGTAGAATTTGGTACTATTTACTTTATAGGAGTTCGAAAAAAATTAAGCTAAAAACTAACTTAAATATTCCCAGGCCTAGTATTGCACATATATGTGCTACATTAAGCCTCAGATAGCGCGTATTAGGCCTTGGAAGGTTAGATTAGGTAAGTTTCGGTTGTCTTTGCAACATAAATACAAAACCTTTTCCAGTTTGTCCAAAATTAATAGTAACGATTTCTTTAATTTTCTATTACGTCATATAGTAACTATGTGGACCATAGTACATATAAGTACTAACTAAACAGAAGGATGAACAATCTTCTCAAACATCCACCTCACTGGATACTAATGCTGGTGTGATTTCTGCACTTCATCTTGCTCACCGAATTGCTGGATCTTGACTATCGATTGTTTTTATTCCATAATCAACACATTCTAAGCTGCAAATGGTTTAACACGCATCATAGCACGTGACGTGTTTGGTGCTCGGACAATGAAGACTACCTCGGCCCCAGCATCAACGGCTCAGTGTCGAAGACGCCTGCTTCTGCACCAACCACCGTCACTGTTCTAGCTGCAGAACATGCGGCCATGCCTTCCGCACAAGTCGTCAGTTCTTCCTCTTTACCACCTACTATTATCGTACCATCTGACATAATAGAGGATGTGCTCTCTACATCACCCAGCGAAACTACTGTGACTCAAGCTCCTACAGCAGCCCAAGAAGAGTGCATTGCTACTGCTTCTGGACAAGATGAACTCTTATTGTTTGAAGACGCGCACAACCATCATTTTACCCTAGTCCAGAAACATTTCGAGACCATGGAATAAAATAAGAGGAAGCTGAAAGAATCTGATTGTATCAAGTCCTACGTTGAAGCAGACACAGTTCGTTACTGTGCTGATGTCACACTATTCAACCCGGCCATTATCGACCCCGAATACTATAAGTACCAAAATTCACTGGCCAAATTACGGAGAAAATTCCAGCACTTAACTGTGAAGAAAACAGGGAAGATAAACCTGGAGAGAGAGCTAGCACCTCCGACTCCTAAACTTCCACGGAACACCACACCTGCTATCGACCCATCGGCATTATCAGACGAAGATGTTTAGTGGAGATTTTGTCCCCACTGAAAGTTTGACTACAACAATGATGACTTTCTACTTTGTATTACACCTTCAAACTTGAACGACAGGACCGCCATGTCAACAAGAAGCAAGACTACCACCATCAAGAAGAAAAAGAACGACGACGTCCTAGGCAGGAAGAATCAAACATGAAGAAAAAATAATTTTAGAGCCAAGTAAGAAAGAAGATGTCTTTGGTTTTGTATGGCTCGTCGACGTAAAGCGACTATTCGTGCTCATTCAGTGTTCCACCAGTTTAAGTGGTTTGTTAGACCTGTGTCCCGAGGTTTTCTTGAACATTTGAGTGGCTGCAGAATTAATATCTGAGGTGACTGTAGACAGTCGTGTGTTGGGGTCTACTTCGTTTGTATCTAGGAGACGGATAATATCGGCTCATTTATGTTTATAGTTTCTTAATGTTCCACTTGGGGAGTGTTAGGGGATTGGTTCATAGCTGAAAGGTAATAAATTTTATAATGGTTTGTGGTCACTACCAATATCCGGTCCTGTGTGAAACTGTAGTTCATGCTGAAAGTGTGCAGTCAAAGCAGATGCCAAGTAAGGCTTCATAATTGGTTCTGTAGTTAAAGTAAGTTGCGAGGTAGGGCGGCAAAATAAGAATATAGGGTGCACTGGCAAAGTAGTTATATAGATCGGTGCCTGCAGTGTTCTAGGTACCTCTACTGCATGTTGGGTGACTAGCATTGAGATCACCTGTAACAATGATAGTGTCGTAACTGGTCAAGATAGAAATCCAGTTCAATTAAGTTGTCACCAGGTTTGTATGTATCCTTAAGAGATATGTGTACACCATTGTAGGGTATCAGGCATGCCAACGTTTCTAGTTTACCGTTCACAAAATGAGCAAGTGTTACAGGTTTACAAGTCATTAAGTCGAGTTAAGAGGGAAAACGCCGCCCCCCCCCCTCCCCCACACAATATGATTGGGTCTGTCCAATCTCTGCATCTGAAAGTTTTTGAAAATAGGATTATGTTTGGGAGTGAGCCAGGATTCGGTTACGAAAGATAGGTCCGGTTTTGATGAGTAAAGGACTTGTTAAAGTTCTGTGAGGGATGTTTTAATTATTTTCACGTTCCAAGTCATGAAGGTTAGGGGGGAGCCATTTAAGATGTTTGGGTTATGGATGCATCTGGTGTTCTTGGCATGCCAATAGTATGTGTTGGGTACCTGGATGTGGATGGGGGGTGGGACTGTGTCGTGGGATATGGTGGTTCATGTGGTCTGTCAGCCTGAGTGCTAGAGCGTTGGGGTTCGATCCACTATTTTCGTATTATTTTTATAGTGAGCGTGGTTGTTGAGGTCATGAGGGTGGTTTGAGTGTTATCTACATATTTAATTAAGAAGTTGTCCATCTGTTCCAAAGTCCTTTGTATGCTTCCATTGGATGCGTGTTTATCACTATCTGGAGCCCAGGATGTGGAGCGTGTGGAGTCGGCCCCGGGGGATGTGGAGCGTGTGGAGTCGGCCCCGGGGGATGTGGAGCGTGTGGAGTCGGCCCCGGGGGATGTGGAGCGTGTGGAGTCGGCCCCGGGGGATGTGGAGCGTGTGGAGTCGGCCCCGGGGGATGTGGAGCGTGTGGAGTCGGCCCCGGGGGATGTGGGGGGGGTGGGGTCGGCCCCGGGGGATGTGGAGCGTGTGGAGTCGGCCCCGGGGGATGTGGAGCGCGTGGGGGGGTCGGCCCCGGGGGATGTGGAGCGTGTGGAGTCGGCCCCGGGGGATGTGGAGCGTGTGGAGTCGGCCCCGGGGGATGTGGAGCGTGTGGGGGGGTCGGCCCCGGGGGATGTGGAGCGTGTGGAGTCGGCCCCGGGGGATGTGGAGCGTGTGGGGGGGTCGGCCCCGGGGGATGTGGAGCGTGTGGAGTCGGCCCCGGGGGATGTGGAGCGTGTGGGGGGGTCGGCCCCGGGGGATGTGGAGCGTGTGGAGTCGGCCCCGGGGGATGTGGAGCGTGTGGGGGGGTCGGCCCCGGGGGATGTGGAGCGTGTGGGGGGTCGGCCCCGGGGGATGTGGAGCGTGTGGGGGTCGGCCCCGGGGGGATGTGGGGGGTCGGCCCCGGGGGATGTGGAGCGTGTGGGGGGGGGGGGTCGGCCCCGGGGGATGTGGAGCGCGTGGGGGGGGGGGGTCGGCCCCGGGGATGTGGAGCGTGTGGGGGGGGGTCGGCCCCCCGACTAGATTATGACGGACACACCAAACTGGCATCACACAGCTCTAAATACAGAACAGACATCAACGAACTATGCATCCACTGTCATGTGCTAGAAATAATCCACCACTACCTCCATTGTTTCAGACATCCTAGTGCCAGAGTAAACGTAAAAAAAGTACTTATTGCATTAAAATTCCTTTTACCATCGAGCATATATTAGGAGGAGACTTCCTCTCATTACATTAAAAATATCAAATTCAGCACTGGCTAAATATCTCTAGTCGACCAACAAATTGGGCCACATTTGACCTGTCACATTTATCCCTGGCGCCCCAGCAGCCAAACAGAAAATACCTGCCTCGCCGAAGCACCAACGATCAGCTGACGCGATAAACAACAAGACTTGTCGCCCTACAGGGCGACAAGTCTCCCTCTAACACACACACACACACACACTTTTGTTTAATCGCCACTCCTCTAGCTAAAGCACAAGACAACAATCGCTTTTGTAACCTTGTCCTTTTCAATATTAATGCGTCACCCAATATCTGTACCAGTGGAATCATCGAGAGGATAAACCTTTCATACTAACTGCACGTTTTTTTTTTATATATAAATAAACAAATACAAGAACACACAAAACAACGAAACCCTGTACATATCAAGTATATCAAAGAAAGGACAGTACACAGGAACAAAAAGTCTGCACATTAAACACAATTACAGTAACCACAAAACAAACACAAGCGGTGAGTAAAGAAAACTGCATGGAATCAATGGGGGTAAACAGTACATGGAAATAATAGCGAAAACAGTACATGGAAAACAGTAAGACTAGGGAAAGGATAGGTCCATTAAAATCTGAGACAGGTCAAATAACGGATAATGACAAGGAGATGAGTAGTATTTTTAACAAATATTTTATATCTGTATTTACTAAAGAAGAACTTAACAATATGCCTTCAGCCGAACAAGTCTGTGGGTGGGGATGAGGACAGGTTGACTAGTTTAGCAGTTACCAGGGAGGATGTAATTAAACAATTAGAAAAACTAAAACCAAACAAATCCCCAGGGCCGGATGAAGTGTTTGCCAGGGTGCTTAAAGAATGCAAAGAGGAGCTTTCCGAGCCACTGTCTACCATATTTAATAAATCAATAGTCAGGCAGAGTGCCAGAGTCATGGAAGGTAGCTAATGTGGTACCAATTTTTAAGAAAGGAGATAGATCACTTGCGTCAAACTATCGGCCAATTAGCCTAACGTCTATTGTGGGAAAGTTACTTGAATCAATAATTGCAAATACAATTCGTCTCCACCTTGAAAAACATAAATTAATAAGAACATAAGAACAAAGGTAACTGCAGAAGGCCTATTGGCCCATACGAGGCAGCTCCTATTCTATAACCACCCAATCCCACTCATATACTTGTCCAACCCGTGCTTGAAACAATCGAGGGACCCCACCTCCACAATGTTACGCGGCAATTGGTTCCACAAATCAACAACCCTGTTACTGAACCAGTATTTACCCAAGTCTTTCCTAAATTTAAACTTATCCAATTTATACCCATTGTTTCGTGTTCTGTCCTGTGTTGATACTTTTAATACCCTATTAATATCCCCCCGGTTATGTCCATTCATCCGCTTGTAAACCTCTATCATGTCACCCCTAACTCTTCGCCTTTCCAGTGAATGCAACTTAAGCTTTGTTAATCTTTCTTCATATGAAAGATTTCTAATTTGGGGAATTAACTTAGTCATCCTACGCTGGACACGTTCAAGTGAATTTATATCCATTCTATAATATGGCGACCAAAACTGAACTGCATAATCTAAATGGGGCCTAACTAGAGCAAGATATAGCTTGAGAACCACACCAGGTGTCTTGTTACTAACGCTGCGATTAATAAATCCAAGTGTCCGATTTGCCTTATTACGAACATTTATGCATTGATCCTTTTGTTTTAAATTCTTACTAATCATAACTCCCAGATCCCTTTCGCAATCCGACTTCGCAATCACAACACCATCTAGCTCGTATCTTGTAACTCTATCATCATTACCTAACCTCAGAACTTTACATTTATCAGCATTAAACTGCATCTGCCAATCCTTTGACCATTTCAAAACCCTATCTAGATCAACTTGAAGTGATAGTGAGTCCTCCTCCGAATTAATTTCCCTACCGATTTTCGTATCATCGGCAAATTTGCAAATGTTGCTACTCAAACCTGAATCTAAATCATTTATATATATTATAAACAACAGAGGTCCCAGGACAGAGCCTTGAGGCACTCCACTTACAACATTTTCCCACTCTGACTTGATTCCATTTATACTAACTCTCTGTTTCCTTTGGTATAGCCATGCCCTAATCCAGCTTAATATAGCACCCCCAATACCATGAGACTCTATTTTTTTAATCAGTCTTTCATGTGGCACTGTATCAAAAGCTTTGCTAAAGTCAAGGTATACAACATCGCAATCCTTACCACTATCAACTGCCTCAACAATGCTAGAATAAAAAGATAACAAATTTGTTAAACATGAACGGCCATTTATAAAACCATGTTGCGACTCAATTATTAATTTATGTTTTTCAAGATGAAGACGAATTTTATTTGCTATTATAGATTCGAGTAACTTTCCCACAATAGACGTTAGGCTAATTGGTCGATAGTTAGACGCAAGTGATCTATCTCCTTTCTTAAAAACTGGTATCACATTAGCAACTTTCCAAAACTCTGGCACTCTGCCTGACTCTATTGATTTATTAAATATGGTTGACAGTGGGTCACAAAGCTCCTCTTTGCATTCTTTAAGCACCCTGGCAAACACTTCATCCGGCCCTGGGGATTTGTTTGGTTTGAGTTTTACTATTTGTTTAAGAACATCCTCCCTGGTAACTGCTAAACTCGTCAACCTGTCCTCGTCCCCACCCACATAGACTTGTTCGGCTGAAGGCATATTGTTAAGTTCCTCTTTAGTAAATACAGATACAAAATATTTATTAAAAATACTACTCATCTCATCATCACTATCTGTTATTTGACCTGTCTCAGTTTTTAATGGACCTATCCTTTCCCTAGTCTTGGTACGATATAACTGAAAAAACCCTTTAGGATTTGTCTTTGCTTGCCCTGCTATGCGAGCTTCATAGTTTCTTTTTGCTTTCTTTATCTCTTTTTTAACATTTCTAACCAGTTGTACGAATTCCTGTTCTAAAGTGACCTCCCCATTTTTAATCCTTTTGTACCAAGCTCTCTTTTTACCTATAAGGTTCTTCAAATTCTTTGTTATCCACTTTGGGTCATTAGTATTCGATCTATTCAATTTGTATGGTATACTACGTTCCTGTGCTTTGTTTAGAATATTCTTAAATAAGTTATATATTGAATCTACATCGAAATCCCCATTTAAGTCACCTATCGCTGGGTTCATGTCTCGCTCCAAGACCGGCCCACACCCCATACCCAAGACTTTCCAATCAATTTGACCCAAAAAATTTCTTAGGCTATTAAAATCAGCTTTTCGAAAATCTGGCACTTTAACAGAATTTTCTCCTACTGGTCTATTCCATTCTATGCTAAATCTGATTTCTTTGTGATCACTGCTCCCTAGCTCACTCCCTATTTCGATGTCATTAATTTGCGTTTCCCTGTTAGTTAACACTAAATCTAAAATATTATTTTCCCGTGTTGGTTCCTTAATGTGTTGCGTAAGAAAGCAATCGTCAATTAATTCTAGAAAATCTTCTGCTTCACTATTCCCTGTTTTGTTCAACCAGTTTATTCCGCTAAAATTAAAGTCACCCATGACATAAATACTGTTAGATCTAGATGCTCTAGATATTTCATCCCATAGATGCTTTGCTTCCATTCTGTCTAAATTTGGTGGCCTATATATTACTCCTATTATAATATTATTAGCTTTTTCGTTTAATTCAATCCAAATAGTTTCTGTGTGTGGCTCTGTTTTGATTCCCTCTTTGAGACTACATTTCAAATTGTCCCTAACATATATGGCTACTCCACCTCCTCGTCTAATATATCTATCTGTGTGAAATAGTTTAAATCCATTTATTTGATATTCAGCTAATAGTTCTCTATTTTCTACATTCATCCACGTTTCGGTAAGTGCAATAATATCTATTTTTTCTGTGCAGACAAGAGCATTTAATTCGTTAATTTTATTTCTTAGACTTCTACTGTTAGTGTAATATACCCTAAGTGAATTGTTATTTTGAGGCCCTTCTCTTCCCCTGATCGTTTTGCCAATTCCTTTCTCCCACAAACACATACTTTTATTACCTCCTTCCTCCAAATCAATTCCCATACCTCTATGAATAAATACCCATACCTCTATAATATTCCATATTCCCATACCTCTATAATAAATTCCCATACCTATTCCCATACCATATTCCCCAATTCCCATACCTCTATAATAAATGAGTCGCAACATGGTTTTACAAATGGCCGTTCATGTTTAACAAATTTGCTAACTTTTTATTCCAGCATAGTTGAGGCAGTTGATAGTGGTAAGGATTGTGATGTTGTGTACCTTGACTTTAGCAAAGCTTTTGATACAGTGCCACATGAAAGACTAATTAAAAAAATAGCTCATGGTATTGGGGGTGCTATATTAACTTGGATTACGGCATGGCTATTCCAAAGGAAACAGAGTTAGTATAAATGGGGTTAAGTCAAAGTGGGAAAATGTTGTTAGTGGAGTACCTCAGGGCTCTGTCCTGGGACCTCTGTTGTTTATAATATATATAAATGATTTAGATTCAGGTTTGAG